AGGTATTTGACCCACCCCCCCTGTCCAGTCCAACCTCTTCCGCCCCCCATTCTCCTTTATTTTTTGGAATAGCCCATTTAGGCCCAACACTTTTTAGATTTACATGTTTTACAAAATGCAATTAATGCACACAGTGCTTGTCTCACAGCATATATCATAACATATAATTTTTTTGCATCCCTTGTTATTTTGTTTCAAAAACATTTCATTTATTTAAAGATGATGATGCGCTGTCAAAACATCCTGCTATAGTCACCCCACAGAGCATGTGATCCACTCTTCATCTCTAGTTTGTATCAGTGAACTGCAGCTCAATATGCGCTGAAGGGCATGTGGTAACAACACTTTAGTTTTGAGAGATGGCCCTCAGCTGGACTCTAAGTACACAGTAATGGCTGATGCCTTGTGCAGTGCTTGATGAAGATATGAAAAACACTCTTGTCAAATTTTACATATAACGTTATGGCTGAACTTGAAATTAATAAGTTTTGATGAGTAATTTTCCAGCAGTGGCATCCTGTATAGATAATCATCTGCTGTCTCGCATTACAGTTACTTCTATCATTTTGTATATTTCGATATCGTTATGAAATCTTTTAGTGTTTGATAACAGCATTTTAGTTTGGAAATGATGAACAGAAGACCATGCTAATTTTTTGTCACTGAAAACAACATGAGTTGGTACATTGCATAATGTATAGATTACTATAATATCAAAAGTTGTCATTAAGTGTTACGTAAAATCAGTCTTCAGCAAATTACAGTGTTCAATTGCTCAATGCGACAATGCCTTATTGACAATCAAACAACATTCAAGTTAAATGCTATTTTAATTTAGTAAAATCAAACAATTACCTGCATTTCACATAACTATGTTGTCAACTATTTACCAATCCATTACTAATTTAGACTGAATCAGCTGTGAATTGACAATCACAACAAGGTGTTGACTTGTGAAGATTTTGACAGTTGAAGGTCAAAGGTGTCAAAAGACTCAATTGAATCCAATTGACACCAATATGCAGTGTTGGGTAACACATTCTTTGTGTATAAAAGTTACATGGATTCAAAGTAAAAGTCCAAGTTTAAAAAAGGGGGATGATTTTCAGGATGTTATTAATCTCCTACCAGGTACATAAAGTATACGTTATGTCCAACTTGTAGGTAATATATTGATTTTTTTTGTTGGTCCCTGTTTTGATGTCATGGTCTGTGTGTTTTGAAAGGGTTAATTAGGGTCAAATAGGACTTTGACTGCTTGGTTCATTGTTGATCCATGCTAGTGTCTTAGAGAAGAAGAATTATCAGGTTTAAAATCCCTTTTTCTGTTTCCTGCAATATATAATTCAATGTCATATTGCTGCTTAAGCCTACAAAAAGTTGTTGACAGCCCTTCTGCAATATAGATTTTTTTTATTGCAGTTTGAGAGTCTGATTGGCTCAATGGTTTTCACTCCAACACTATGCATTTATCACTTCAGTACAGTGATAAATTGACAAAGGTTAGATGGGGGTAATTAAGATCCTGCAGGTCACCTTGGGTTTTCACAATGAAAACTGAGAAAATGTGGGCATTCATTTTTTCAGTGACAAATACAAGTTTTGTACAGAGCTCTTGGCACTTAGAATCGCTGCATTTGCATGTTTACAGAACAGTTGTACTTGCAATAATGTTTATCAGAATTATTAGAGAAGGCATTTGCTAGCCTATTACTAGTACCAGAGACATTATACAAGATAAATCTGTGTATAATGTCCTTGCTAGTACCTTCATGAACTTTTCAAAACATTTTGTAGGATTAGCAAACTGTCAACAGAACACAACCAAGCAGGAATTATAGACAGCTTGTCGTAAAAAGGAAATCAAAACACACCTTTGTTGTCCAAAGGCACCCAGGAACCTGAGGTCGATATTTTTGTTACAATACAAGTAAATTGAAAGGAACTACGGTGCAAAAACTCAAAAGTGATTCTATTGATAAAGCAGTCTATTACTACTACATGTACTAAGTTTAACCTGCTAGTGTTTATTCTGTTGCAACGTATGGGAGATTGAGCAAATATGTTCAACATCGTAAATTCTGTGCATATTGAATTTTACAACACCTTATTTGGGTCAGGTATGTTTTCATCACGACTCAGTGCTTGTCCCTGTTGTTACAGGAAATCTACATTAGTCTTTACCATAGGCATGTTTTTTTTTCTACCTAAGACTTTTGTGTTTTTTTCTCTTCCAGGGAGTTCTGGATGCTACGTGACTGTACATCCGTCAGCTGACATGGGTGTCTTTACCATACCCGGACAGTAGGGGCTCGTTGCTGCCAGCACCATTTACAACCTGTGTCCTGATTGGCTTTAGCCAACCAGTATCATTAGCTATTGGTAGATTGTTACCAATCAAAATCTTCAGTAGTCACTGCTGATCTTGAGGTTCAGAGTGACTTGTGAATTGATGCTCTCATATTCTAGAGCTCCTATATCCTGCTGACTACTGATTGGTTGACGTTTTAGCCAATCAGGAACAGGCAAACCTTGACAACATCTTCTATCCTGCACATCCCCCAACCAATCAGAGGCCAGAATGGGAGGGGCAGTGAGCGCAGGAGAGGACAATGAGGAGCTGGTGGATAACCTGAAGGAGGCAGACTACATAAAAACCAAGAAGGTTGAAGAGGTCTTTCGGGCAATCGACCGCGGGGACTACTACTTAGAAGAACACAGAGATAATGCGTACAAGGACTTAGCGTGGAAACATGGGAACATACACTTGTCCGCACCATGTATATACTCAGAGGTGATGGAGTCACTGAAGTTAAAGCCCAACCTCTCTTTTCTGAACCTGGGGTGTGGAACTGGCTACCTCAGTACCATGGTGGGCTTGATACTGGGTAAGTACCCTGTACCAGAAGTTTACAGGAAGATGTCAGGAAAATATGAAACGCAAAAATAGAAGTATATGAAAAAATTTGCTAATTATAAAGTCTTAAAGCCCTGAGGTGTCAATAGCAAGTCATCAGAGTAAGTGATTTTGGCAGGTCTCTGTTTTTACGTACATGTATAAATCACCCTGCGTACAAGTTTTCCCTTGGTACTTCAAATGTGTAGACGTGCCCCGCGTACATTCCCATCAGGAATCCCGCCACTGACGTCAACATTCACATTTTATTAGCACAGTGATTCATTCAGACCACTCGAGTGCTCGGGAAGTGATTGTGCCAAAGCACAGACTAATGCAACATCTGTTTCTGTATGGATTGTGACGGCAGGACCAAATTGCGCTGGGACAGTGGTGACCTTCACTATACTCCCACTGACAATGAGAAGCCGTTTACAGATGTGCTGAACACATTGCCAGTGGGACAGCTGATCTGTTACCACCACTCAGTGTTGTCATGGGACAGTGTGTACGTCATGTGTCACACTGGCACATGGATGTACATGTGTAGGTGACAAGGAACATTTTCTGCGTGCGATAACAATTTTAGAGCACAATACGATTTTTGTGATGCGCAATATGGTACATGATTTTTCATCAGATGGGAGAGTAGAATTGTTAGGTCCAACTGAGAACAGCAGGAAAAAATTTGAGCCAGAGAGATTTTATCAATGTTGCAATATTCTTAAACTAAATATTGATTGAAAATATAACTGCCCTCAATTTTCATGTCAACAGTTTCTGAATTCAGCTCATCTGATATGCAAAAAGTTGATAAAATTTGTTAGGAATAGAAGTCAGCAGGGAGATAATTAATGTCATTTTCATAACTGAGTTCTCAAAATATGTGACTGTACTATTATTGACATTTTCATACATGAAATATCTGATAACAGAAAATTAAAGACAATTAATATTTGCAAATGATAAGAACACCATCTATGAGTTTCATATGTCTAATGACCAGGGTGTACAAATATGCATCGTGTTGCAATTCATTTTGAGTAGTCATACTGTATACATGTAACTTGCTGGCTTAGGATAGAAGTAGAGCATTGTGTTGTACATTAGTTAGTCAGACAATGGCAAAGGTGAAAAAGAATTGACATGAGAATCTTGGACAAGAGCCAAACTGGTGTTGGCTTAGTGCTGTGCTGATTCAACCAGAACCAGATTGAAATGAATAAGAAATAACTCAGAAACATAGAAGCTCATTTCTATTGTTGGATTAGTAACTTGAAGTTAAGATGACCCTGTGCCTTTTTGAGAATGATTGACATGTAACAGCATGGACATGATGGGTCAATTTGCATGATTACTATACACTTACTGGAGTCTTGTGACCACAATAACAGGTGTTGTCAATGCTTCCAAAGTTTCAAGTGCATATGGATTAAAGTTATGAAAAACATTACAGTTGCATAGCCAGGTTCTAGAGAGATCATCAGGCTTTTTGAAGAAATAAGATTATTTTTTGAAAAAGCAATCTTATGATGTCTGAGCAAAATAACTTCAATTGTGTAAACGAATTTTTTAACGAAATGCTGTTTGTGGCAAATAGCTAGTCACTTTCATTTGTACAAAAACCTAAAGCAACTAGACAAACCATCGAAAAACATATTCTGTTCCTTTATCTCTACTATAACCGAAAGCGAGGAGAAGTTGAATTTATCTAATGATGTGCACTAAAGGTCATCATTCAAGTAAGAAAAGCATTCGTCCCCCTCAGGTCCATTTGGTATTAACCACGGGATTGAGATCCACCAGGATGTGGTGGAGTATGCCAAGCAGAAGCTGTCCTGGTTCATGAAGAACGCTGAGGTGTTCGATGACTACGAGTTCTGTGAGCCCAGATTTGTAATTGGCAACTGCCTTCTACTTCCCTCTGGTAAGTACTAGTAGTTGATGATAATTCGTTGAAAAGGTTTGTCGTAAGATTGACAGTTAGTAGAATATTCATCAATCTGACTTTTTAAAGGTAGCAATCACGTACCACTGTACGTCTTGATCACGGAGTGGCCTAATCTTGCGAGAATAGACTAGGTGAATATTCTACTAACTGTTGATGATTACTGTTTTCCCTTTTTTGAGACCCTTTAGCCTAAAATGCAAAGTCTTCCAGGGTTCAGACATTCAATGAACTAAGATATTATACATCACAAAAACATAGTCATCAACTATATATTTACAAGCTTATGGACTAGAGGCTGGAGTTAAGAACAGATGGCTTCTTTTTAGAAGTAGACAGTCTATGTGGTGAGCAAATGTCAGGTGACAGTGCTTTTCATACTGCATACTGCAAGTACATTTTTCAGGTTAGAATATTGTCCTTTGTTATGTCCATACATAATATATGGATATAGCAAATGCAGACATGTTTTTAGATGAGAATATGAATTTCAATTGAAGTAGAGATAAGTTGAAAGGTTTCATCAGAGTTGTGTTGGGCTGAGTTTGGCAGAATACACAACACTCTGAACTTGAAATGTTTTGTATGTTTGAAATTCTGCTTCCTGTGCTTTAATTCGGCCCTGACTTTCAATTTAAAGTCTGAAACTAGCTAGCATGGTTCAAGTCCACGTGATTGACTGCATGCTGCTGTCATGTTGTTACAGGGTGTAAAACATATGACCGTGTGTACTGTGGAGCTGCCTGTCCACCAGAACATGAGAACTACATGAAGAACCTGCTGAAGATAGGGGGAATCCTCGTCATGCCTTTTGAGGACCAAGTAAGTTTCACTTAATAGTATGTTGAACACACTATATGTTGAGTGTATTCACTAAAAGTGTGATGTATGCTTCTCGTCAGCTATAGCACAGCAGTAAATTTATAGGAAAAAACACCTTTCTCTACTCCAAACATGGTAGACAGTATGACCAGTATCTTCAGGCTATCCAGGAAAAAAAACTTTAAGGCTAATGATTATCTTTGACCTGCAGTTACAGCAAATCACACGCACAGGACAGAACAGCTGGGAGACCAAGAACATTCTCCCAGTATCCTTTGCACCACTGGTTCTGCCACAGAAGTCAGACGCACCCCAAGTGGAGTTACGTAAGTTAGTCCTTCTTTTTGAGGCGACATGAGTTGCCTGTGGATTACAGTCTCCAAGTCATTGTGTTATAGGACCTGATGTGAAAATCTACAGTCATCAATACTCACCCGTTGTTCAGGTTGGAACAAGTCAGTCTGGTGGGGTCGTGTGGCGTAACAGTAGTGCTCGACTTGGAACCAAGAGGTCCTGGGTTCAAGTCCTGACCTGCCACCGATCTTTGCCCTTTGGAAAGGCACTTTACATGACTTTCCTCACTTAACTCAAGTGAAAATGAGTATTGTCCTGTCCTACATGTATATTTGTTTCTATGTGTGGGACACAACACTAGCAACGGCTGACTGTGTCCACTTGTATTCTATTGTTACAATTTCAATAAATCAGATCAATCAAATCAGCTGTTAATTCACATTGTTGTCCAGACCTCAACAGATAACTCTTGTTCCACAGCTGACTGCTCCTGTCGCACACTCCAAGACCTCTGTCGCATCTCCATCCGCCGGATCCTCCGCGCGAACGTCAAGGCCGAGAAGCTGAAGGAGGGCGTGTCCTCCTCGAGCCGCCCCAAGCGGAAACGCAAGCGCCGGAACAGGTACCACCGGCGCAACCACGTGAGGGACCACGACTCGCGGCACGAGGCGGACGGTCCTCCCAACCACGTCAGGAAGGAGGACAGCGAGGAGAGCGAGAAGGAGATGGAGGAGGAGATGGAGAAGCCCAGGAGGAATCCACTCCGGGAGAAGATCGAACAGTTACCCCTTCCTCCTGCACTAAAACAGTACCTGATGTACTATAGAACCAAGTAAACGTAAGCACTCAACTTAGGCGTAAGTATAGTTATATACTGATGTTAGGCAAGGAACGCCTAGTATTGTGTACTAGTATTCACGCATCTTGACTTTGTTTCATTACTTCTCTGAGTAACAAACTATCAAGTAGATCTGGGGTAAAATGTTATCACTACATTCTATTCTCTGCCAAACAACTTTTAACTTTCATACTTATATCCACTCAGTAGACTGGATTTTTACAGAAATTAGCCATACGGGATCATCACCAAGCCAAGTATTTTGTTAAGCTGCTCTGTTGTATTTTTTAAGGTCATGTTAGCTGTAAATACTAAAGCTTAGCTTCTGGTAAGTTGCATAATGTTAAGAGTAGTGTACCTTGAAGCAGTTACTGTTTGTCAGATTGTATGTAGAAAAGAGCATGCTTTTAAAGCTTCAAAAGTTTGGGGCTGAAAGCATCACATCATGAAAGGGTTAAAAATAGGTACATGTATCTTGTATGGTAAAAAAACACAACTAGAAACCTCAGGGGTGGAAAATAGCAGCAAACAGGTGATATCAGAAGGACACAAAACACATATAATCCGTGACTATAAATTACTTGTCCATGTACGTGACTGTATATCATCAGTTAAGGCTGTGAGTGAACAGTCATACTCCAAAAAGCTCCTACAACGTCACAGATATCCACATTTAAATTCCCACTTACAACTGTAGGATTCACCAGTTTGAATTGCTAACCAGTCCAGGTGGTATTTGGTGAGGCTTGTAGGTTGTACAATTGTGCACCATTACTGGAATGATGTTCTCATTTCTTTGTTGTATCTCCGATCCTGAGAGGTGCCTTAACACAGACTACATGTAGATCACAGCTACATGCAAGGTATGATTTGCAGCATGAACACTACAGGTTCCTGTCAAGGGCAGAGGTTAATGCTATTCCACACTGCTGCGATGTACATATATAATTATGCACAAAAATGTAGTTCATTATTATTCAAGAGAAAACATTGTCGGTGGTGTATACACTGTCAATGACCAGACAAGATGAGTAACACTGGACACTTATTACTGCTAGTAATTTTAGCAACTTGTGCATTTGCCAAATCACTGTATCTCTTTAAATCTGTCATCAAGAAGGTCACAATCATGCCTGCTGCTAGCTAATGCTGTGTACTGATGTCTCCACATATAGAGCTTTCCAAGGCTGTTTACATTCCACACTATTCCTGCACTTGTTTGATGATGCAATACCTATCCTAGTGTTAAGCCCGGATGAATGATTGTATGTTTGATATGGAATTGCTGCAGTGATGTTTCTGTGTTCTCATTTATTTGAAACTTATGTTTAAGTTTTTTTTAGCTTAAAAGAGTGACAGGTTGCAAAGTACACATTTCACTATTGATAGACATATCTGCAACAACAGTAGGTACTGTTACTTATTGTTTTGTTTATTTGTTTTCTAAAATGACATGTTTTGGGTTGGTTTTAGATTAACATTATAACATTTATTGTCTAGCTACTTGCTTACTTTGTCAAGTCATAAAATCATCGAATCCCTCATCAGAGAATCACCACTGGTATGGATCTATGGTGTTTCCAGCATGTCACCCATAATGGCTGTACCACCACCCCTTCTGTTTGGGGTTGGCCCATGCACATGGTAATATCATCATCTGTACATGTCATCAAGATTCAGCTTAAATGGTGGTTTTGTGGAGAAAGTGCAAAGTTTGTTTTAGATGGAAGAATGTCATGAGTTTGTGTAACTTGTATATGGCTTCATGTGTAAGGCTTCACGTGAGAGCAACATTCAGAGGCTTAAACTTTGACTATAATGATGATGTTGAAGCTTGATTGTACATTAACAACCTGAATTGATTGAGAAGTTGTCTCTGCCTGAATGGGTCTATCCCAGTGCACAATGGCACAGTATGTGCATGTACTAATGGAGTCTGAACTGTTGCATTTAGTTGTCTAGATATATGCCAAATGTTGGGGAGAAATCTACAGGAAATATATCGCTGTAGATGTTTATTGCGATGTGTAAACAACAAGGAATTTTTATCCAATGGAGAGATTGTAAGACTTTGTAAGTTAAGTCCAAATAGCTGTAGAAATGTCGTGATCAAGATCAACGCATGACAGAAACATGGAACTATGAAGGTGTACTTCCAATGTTTATGGTAATTCAGAGAAGTCCTAGATATACGAAAGAAAGATTGCTGTATATGTACATAGCCAAACATATATTGTAAGAATGCTGGTCATTGTTTGCAGCATGTATTTATAGCAGTTCTGTACCTGTAAAACTTTGCAAACAAAGCAAGTAGTAGAGCAAAATATAAACCAAGATTGTTGTAAACTTCTGGTCTGATCATTATTGTCCGCAGTCAAGATGAAATTCATCTCTAGCTGATCTCAGAGAAGCTCGGTGGTCAGAAAGTTCTTATCTCCACCTTCAACCACCAACATCTTTTTAGCTCATCTGGTTTATCCACAGAAGTCTTGAGGATGGACTGCACAAGGTTCAAGTGTAGACTCATTGATCAGTTAGCACAGCGAGTCGGCAGAACGTACATGTGTACTGCACCTGCGCGAATCCTGCAATGTATTGTGCATAGCACTTTGGCAGAACGTATCATATTAGGTCGTGTTTGCACGTATCCATTCTGTAGTTTCCAAAAGTTATGTCGGAAAAGATATCGTCTGCAATGACAAAATTCTGATGCAACATCGACCATACATCCAACGAAAACCAGGAAAAGGTAGGGTTTCGCGCAGGCACAGTAGGTTCTGCAGACATGCTAGTTAGCACAGGTATACTCTGCCCAGCTATGTCTGGTTTCCTTGTCACAGACTGCATGTGTTCAGACTGCATGTGTGCATCCTCCTTATATTTCAACTGATACAATCACCTGTGATGCCCCAGATGTAGAAGTGGCTGGATAAACTAATTAAACGTACAATGACCCATTACATTACCCACTCCAGATCCTTGGTGGAAAAAAATGAGTACAAAACCATTTCACCTTTTGTGTATCAGACATTTAATTCTTTCACTTAAAATGGCCCAAATTTCTTTGGCTAAGTCACAAGTACAACACATGCAAATGGCAGGACAATCCTTCAATGCCCTGGGATACAAAACAGTTGAAGTTGCACATGCACAAGGACAAGCACAAATATGCACTGATCATTGCAATAAAAATCTTAAATATTTCACAAAGTGACTGTCATCACTTTTAGCATTACATTGACTATCTTCTACCGCTATGCTCTAAGCTCTGGTTTTGTCAGCTCGTGTCATACAAAATATTAAGAGAGATACAAATACAACTGAAAACCTCCATTGAAAAACGACAATAAATAATATAAATATAGTGACAAAATGTTAATAGCATCATAAAGTCTACATCACATAACTTCCAAAATATACTACATTCAACATTCTATACTTACAAATATACTACTCAATAGAATGGTCAATTGCATGTGAAATGATTCTTTCAATTTTCATAACATTCTTAAGAATGTGTAATTAAATCCATGAGTTCATTCTAGAGGAGTCTGCTTTCATATGCAGCAGAATAAATAGCACAAAAATAAAGACCCCCTGAACACTTCAATAAATTATATACTTTCCTCTGGTCAAAAGTATTGTACTTCTTAAATGTTAGGAATATCAGAGGAATAGACAAGTGTTTTGAATAATATATCCACAGAAATATTCACTTTGAATCCTTCATTTCTCTGCCCTCTCCAGGGTTGACATCACTGAAGTTTAGCAAGTGTCTTTGCACACCTCAGCATTTAAAATATGGCTTGCCTGAGACACCAACTACTACTTCCACTAACACTCAAAGCTAGTGCTAAGCTTGCCACCATGCAAAATGTCCACAAAAATTTATCAACTGCACAATGTGATGCTTACTTTAGATTGCCACCAGTCAGAAGCTGCTCTCTGCATTACCAAAACTTACCTACAGTGGCTGATCTCAAGTTGCTCAACCGAGTTTAGAAAACATTTAAATGTCTTGAAGAATGCCCATTTGGCCAGAAAGAGTGAGCTACATGTACAGTCTGCTGTTCATACTACCTAATTAGTTCTCACTCTCGGTTTATACATCAGTAGCTAAAACCATACCAATTACTTGTACCTAAATTTCATTACATGACTTACGTAGTGAGTAAAAATCCCTCCCAGGACACAACTAGGGAAGTCCTCAACTGCAGTCCTTTTTACTGTTTACATAAAAATCGAGGTTGCTCGAACAACACACAGTTTTATACCTAGTAAATGTCCTAGCACAGCTTCCTTTTAGCTCAGAGAAAAATTCTTTTATCAGGTAACATGATGAGCCACATACTGATGCTTACTGTGGGATGTGTTGGAAAAACTCTTCCTTTCATCATCAACTCTCTTAACTCTTCCCATATATACCAGTACCTCAAAAACAGTCAAGAATGTGATGTCTGCTCTACCCTTGACTCCCATCTTTGGACCTACTTCAGCTTCCACATTACAAAATGAGATATATCATGTGATTGCACCTAGTATGTGATTGTGTTATCTACAGTGAGTATAGTTTGGAATGTATGAGAGTAAACAGATGGGGTTTTCTGCTGGGTCACAAGCTCCCTTCCTTCATTGCACTACCCACATCATCACTGACAAGTAGGAATATCTATACAACTGATTGGTAGACTGTTTCAATACTGTTCTAGTCTGTACAGAATGTAATGTATCAGAAATATCAGTATCACACATGCTAATATGGTCACCTCTAGTTTGGAGATGTACCAGTCATGTTTTCTGACCCGGGCAATGGATGGGACCTTTGGGGATAACAGATTTCAACAACAATAAATCATAATTGTGAAAGTTGTTTGTTCAGGACTCAGCCAAAACTTAGTATGTTGTCATAGACTCGTGTACAAAACTTTATAAACACCCCTTCAGTGATATTTGTCCTTCTATTTAGGAATGCAGAGTTTTTAAATGAACTGCAGCAGACTTAGGGTAGGGGGTCACAAATTACAGCTCAATCAGGAGGCAACCATGTACAGGTGTGGTGACGTCTATGTGTACAGATACATGTACTATTCCACAACTTCATCTTACCAACAGTTGAGTCAAGAAAAGTCTAGCATGTTTATATTACACTGCTACCAAGCCATGAAGCTATACCTGGCACCCATATATTTCTTTTCTGTTTGGCAAAGCAATGATTGCAAGTTCGTCACTTTGTGTACTGTACCGCAATTGTGTTGTGTGCTATCATTCAACTGTTCAAAGTCATTGTCACATAAAGTATGCCCCCAGAAGCATTAAAACATTTATTAATTAAATCTTCATATTATAATAAATAGCTTTCCCTTCTTTATACCACATAATCCAAGTGCACACTGGATATGTCACATTGTATCATAAAAGTCTACTACTGTAACATCACAATACCACTTTTGTGCTAATGTCTTATATTTACAATGTTGGAAATAGCATGTGAATGGTGAAGTGATGCATAACACATTATCTGTTTGGAACAAATTTCATCTCCTCTTACATAACTCTGTTTCTGTTTGATGTTGTATTTTCCTATTAAATGTCTTTGAAGAGATTTCTAAAAGGATTGTAACATTATATTAAAAGTCTTCTGCATTAAAACGGTTCTTTCTATGCTGAAAACATGCCCAAATCTGCACTCATGATCATAAACCAATTTGATTCCATCATTGTCCAGTCACAACCTAGGATTTGAAATGCTATGGTCATCATAACTAGATCATCATAAGAAATCAGGTCAGCCTTCCCTATTGACAACACATGACTAGCCCACTGGCCCAACTGATAACATTATACATCCAATCAGAGCCTTGTATCTAAAATGCTACTTGTGTTGCCGCCATGGGGAGAATGTCGTATCATCATTGATCAAACCTTTACATCAAAGTCCTCTAACGCAGCCTTAACCGCCTGGAAGAGTGCCTTGTTTTCAGAAGTGTAGTTCTCCAGGCAGAGGTTCCGTAGGGATGAGATGTAAGAGTCAAAGTTCTCCTCAGTTGGGCCCTCGTTGGTCCCAGGCAGCTTGATCTCCTGTAAGTGTTGGATGAGGTTGGACCGTAGAAACTCCAGATGTTCCTTCAGGCTGATGTTTTTGTCCTCTATCGCCTTGTTCTCCTTCTCCCCCTGCTGTACCTTGTTCTCCATTGATGTTATCTGTTGTTGGGAAAATTATTGACGTTCATAATAGATATATACAGTCATTGGACTCAAGATAAGACAACAAAACACCACACGAAACTCTGAGATAACTGAAGCATTCACAAATGAGTTAGACATGTTAGACAAAGCCAAGAAAGATAGAAGACCCCAAAAAAATTGTTGCAAAATAAAAAATCAGTCAATTTTTTTGTCAATTTTGTGATTCACTCATCACACAAGGACAATCTTGTCTTTGAGACAAAACTAGCAGAATTACAAGCTGCACTGCAATGAAAGTTTTGCATGTCCAAGTCTTTGACAGAGGTGTGTGGGAATATGCAATCAATTGAACAAATGTGTAATCCTGGCAACCATGAAAGTAACGAAAAGTGATATACAAGTAAGGACCGGAGACCAGTTTGCAATGCCAGTGAATGTTTGTTTACAATAGGACAGACACATTTGACGCTACATGGCGCAAACATATCATATCCCATTTGTACAACTCCACAAATAACATTATCCAATCTGTTTTCAATTCCGATGTAATATTTTGCAACAGATTCTTCCGCAATATCTGGGTCCATCTGTACTCAGACATATTTTTAGCTATTGTTATTATGTGTATTTTAATCTGTATCTTTTTCTTTATATGGGCGAGTGATGCCTGAAATAAATAAAGAGAGTTGTGTACCTGTGTTCTTAACTTGATCATCTGTGCCTCCATGTGTGAGTTGGAGGACTGCAGCTCTGTGATTTCCTGCTCCAGCTTCTTGATGTCCTCATCATTCTCTATACCTGACAAAGGTGCAGACCCAGGTTAAATTTCTAAATCAGCATACTGACTTCATGGACCATTAGGGATGCAGTAATATTTTTTTTTACTCATGGTCAATACTTGGTAAGAGAAATATTACTGTACACAGCTACTTCTTTTTAGACCCTGTGTACACAACTGTACAATATGAGAGAAAAGTCCTTCCCACACCATGTGGTGCATAGAGTGGCGCTTGTATCTCCAGGTCAGTAGCCCTTGGGCCACACAGTGTGCAATCACTACAGCAGGGGGATAGTCCACTGGCAGTGGTGTGTGTTTAACTCCCACACTCTTTCCCAAATGCTGACTGCTAAGCAGAGAAAGCAGTATATATATGTACCATTTTTTAAGTCTTTGGTATGACTCGGACGGGGACTGAACTCACGACCTACCGAATGCAAGGCGAGCGCTCTACCCACTTGGCTATTGCACATTGAGAAATACCTTGAATGAAACAATAAGAACCTTCCTCACCGTTGCTGGCCTTGTACTTGATGGTGTTCATCTCCTCGGAGGTCAGACGTGCCTTCTTCATCGCAGCTGTGGCACGGGGACAGCCTGACAAACTAGGAGGGAGCAGAACATGTCATTAGAGAAATGATGTTATACCAGTGAAAAATACTGTACAGTGAGGATACTATTACATCATAGGTTTTTGTGCAGTGGATGATCCAGACTTATACACTTCTAACAGTTGTGAGTCAACAAAGTAACTTTTCATCACAATAACCATCACTAAGACAAATACTGCACAACAAATGAATGTTTTATTCATTATACACAAGTTTTCCATGTCTATCTTGAGCTGGTAGTTCTCTTAAGTCTGTACGGTGTATTCAATTATAGCTTGGCCTAGCCATATATGCATTTTTATGCTGTTATACTATCAGACAATGTGAACACAAGCCTACCTTCTGTGTGTGAGAAAGCTGCCGTTGGCATGGCCCGAACCATCACACCCAGGGGTGGGGCAGACCAGCCCGTCCATTCTCGGCCTGGTCCACTGGCTGGACAAAGGGAGGTCGTAGGAGCCTGCAAATATCAGGAGCAACACAGACGGTCAGTCAGTCACCATGTCAGCAAATCAAAGGACATAAAAAATCAGACAAAATTCACTTTGAATAATAAGAATTTTCATCTAAATTGTACTATTTGCAAGAATGTCAAATAAATGTTGCCATGAAAGTCAGCAAACTGACAAGAACAATGACTTCCCTAACTCTGTCACACATTCATTTTACTTAAGCATTTAAAAGCCCTGAAATGGATAAATGTGCACTTCATTCCCGTGCTTAAGTCCAGAATTAAGAGGCAACAGTCATATGTTACCAAAGACACTAGATACAAAAATCAAGCATTGAATGCATCTCAGTATACTTTTGTGCAGAAGGATGTGAATGCCTATCAGATAAGGGCAGCTATTTTACAGCAAAGCCTGACAAACAGTCCGCTAACGTGTCCACTTACTGGAAGATTGGACAGGTGATCTCCAATACCCGGGGACATCCTTGCACTCACCATTTTCATCACGGAACATGCTGAGGTTGAAGCCCTTCTTGGCTGCTAAAGGGCATCCAGAAGCACTGTGGTAAAGGCAGAAACAGTGTAAGTCATGGTCTTGCAGAACTTTACCAACAAATATGTATCATATTAAGACATTTCAAATATTTTTTTGTTTTTTCTTAACATTATGACCAAACAAAGTTAAAATTTTACATATTTCCAACAATGCTAATTTTTACTTCACTTGTTAATATTAAGAACTCCAGAGGTAGAAACCATGTTGTACTTAAAGGAATGTAACAGTCAAACTTACCAAACCTGACTTTCAAGCCTTAAGAAAGCAACTCTTAAAAGGCATAGTTACTAATAATACCATGGAGCATAAGGCATGTAGCATAAGACCTTTGTAGGTCTGTTGATGTGAAACATACATACATATTACTAATATCCTTTGACACATTCAAAGTTGAAAACGTTAGCTTCAGGACACTCCTACAAATGTACATACCTCCTGTGTGTGACGTACTTCCCAGAGACGTGTCCTGAGCCATCACACCCCGGTACTGGGCACCTGGAATCAAAACACGGACACAAGACGTCAGAATGCTGCCTCATCCATCTGTCTATCTAACTCCAGGGAGCTTGCTCATCAACAAGCCGGCAAACTTAATAAGCAGACCCACAAGTCCCAAATTCAAGATATCTGTGGGTTTCACAAATTGGTTGCAATGCTCAAGACATATATAGCACTGGTTCATGCTCTGCAAGCAAATGAAGTGCTGTATATCATGGGCTATGACATAGAGCTTGAGCATTTTATTTACTGATTTGGTGTTCAAGGGTACTGCAGTACTTCCAATAAACATTGGAGTATCATTATTGCTTGAAGTTTAAAAAGCACACTGCCTTGGCTTGCAGGCTGTACACTCTTACTACTGTACTTAATACATAACCAGCACAGCACTGTGCCTATTGGAATGTCTTCTTGACCTATAGGGAGTCATGTTAGTCCGCCATGCACTTATAGTTTTTATATCTATGATTTTCTTACCATAATTAACAAAATTATGGAGATTTGGTGCAGCTATTGTGGGTGCAGATTGTGGGTAATTTGTCATCTATTGAATTAATTGCAATTATGTAATATAGCTTCATGTCAATAGTAGGCTATTCATATTAATTTGAATAAAGCGAAATCACAGAAATCAGAAACGATTTTACACAAATCGGTTGTAAGATCGAGAATTAAGAAAATTAAGCAGGGTAAAACAAAAGAAAATGTCCTTGCCCTTCCACTTGTGAAATGGCTGCGACAGACTGCTTCGTGTTGTCATTCACGCTAGTCATGTGGCAGCCAAGTCTACAACCAAGAAGGAAGTCTTCGTGGATCTTAGGACTTCAACAGCAAGATTGTTTTTTTTCACTTCCTATCCTGTTTACTCCCAATTATACTGAATAGGTTCCATCACCAGCTGCCTTAATTAGTATCTATGTTCCAGACAGTGGGCACCAGGTTTTATAAGGTGTTATGCAAAAGGTATAGGCACCAATACCGTTTTGTTATTTGTGATGACCAATGGAGTTAACACAAACAGAAAGAGAAAAGAGATATAAAGGAAAATTGTGAATTTACAGATACCTGTTAGAAAATAGACATTTCACCACATAAAAGTAGGAAAACCCAGTGATCATTCTAGACATCTACTTATTGAATGCATAGAGCTTATAGACAAGAACATCAACTGAAGGTTTGGGCACCAATTTTGGTTACTGGAAGACATTTACTTAGAATTCTCTTTGTACCTGTTATCAACAATAAAAATATTAATAATGCAGGATAACCAAAAGAAAGAATGAACTAAAAAAAAAAAATTAAAAAGAGTTTAAAACAAAATTCAACATTCAACAATCAAGCCAGTCATCCATTCTACTACATTTTCCCTCTACCATCAACATCGGTGACTGATGACGGTCTCATTGGTGAAATATCTACAAGGAGTGGTTAAAACATGACAAAAGCTTGCCGCTGGTTACAAAGTGATCTATAAAAAGAGCTGGGGTGAGATGCTGTAGCCTGAGCAAAAAAGGCAAGGCGAGATCAGGGTAAGGAGTCTCACCCATAGTACACTGATTTGATCCTTGACAGCAGGGAGTAGAAAAGACAGGGAGTGGGTCACACAGACACACAAGACAGTCTCGTTAAAAGGCATCATCTTTTCTTGCCAAGCTGATGGATTGATGAGTCACCATGGCCACTGTGCAAAAGTTTCTCAACATGCAAGGACAGTGTTTCCCCTAGTGGTAGCTCACTGTTATGGTTTAAGTACATAAATGTGTCACTGCAGGATAAGGGCCACAAAAAATCATGGGCCCATTTTTGAAGGGATAATCAGGCTCAGAAAAGTCTGAGGGGAAACACTGACATGAGTCATGTATGCCAGCTTTGTAAGTTCTGTAAGCATCAGACACCCTGC